ACACAGAAACCAAAGCTGGGATCAGGAGGTTCATTGCCCACGGATGGTGGACAAGTGACACTGTTTATTTTCTGAACACCACTTATATACAAAAGCTCATAATGATGTCATTTCCATTCCCGGTGATCTAACTTCCGGCGCTATCACTCCCTGGTGCCTGGATCTGGTGATGTCACTTCTGGTGTGACATCACATCGGCCCTCCACACCTAACAGGGTAGCACTCTAGTCTGACCAGCCCTTCAAGCTTTGACCCACACTGTGATGCAGCCCTGGCACGTGCAAGCTTGTGCATTTGGTGGAGTAACTGGTCTTATCCCTTGAGTCCTTTAGGGCCTTTGTATCCAAAGGCAGAAGGAATATCTCTTCATACAGACATTAGACAGCAGCCTGCAGAGACCCCTAACAGCAGATGGTCACAGGACCCCTTGGTGACCACGGGGCCTGGGTCAGCCCACATGGAGGGTTTGGGGAGGGCCCCTGGAAAAGAATCAGACCTGGAGTCCAGGGGTGCCCTTCCCCCATCCCCGGCTGTCACTCCAAGGTCCCCAGGAGGGCCCCATCAGCCCAGACCCTCTGTGCTCCCAGCTGCCCAGGGGTTGTGAAGCAGGAGGCCTGGAGAGGACGCACCCACCTGCACATGGTCCCAGGAGCCCTGACACAGCCCTGGACATGTATGTAGCTATAATACATACAACAACTGCTACATGGAGGCAAGAGGCTAAAGGGACCTATAAGGCGTCTACATTTCACTTGAAGAGGTAAAATACTAACTTGAACTTGGCTGTGTATAGTCAGGTAAGTATATGATAATATCTACAGCAGCCACCTAAACAGCGTTCATAGAGTTATACTTAAAGCACCAATAGGGAAATTAGAATACTAAAAATATTTTTAAAGGTAGGAAAGGGAAAATAGAAAAACAAACAATGGAGAGGACCAATAGGAAAAAAAAATGATAAACCTAAATACAACCTTATCAGTGACTACACTACAAATAAATGGTCTAAACACAGTAATTAAAAGACAAAGATTACAAGATGGGTTTAAGAAAAAGCAACTACAAACAAGACCTTACTATATGCAGATCTAAGAAATTGACTTCAAATGTAGCGATGTGGCACCTCTCCTCTGAGGCTGCCTGCGCTCCCCGTTCCTCAAGTGTGTACTTTGCCTTAAATAAAACCTTCTTGCTGCCCAGCTAATTGCAACACACACACATATATAATGTATTTATATATGTATAATATATATAGTGATGTAACTAGTGAAGTAAAGAACGAACACTGTGGATGAATCTTGAGAATATTATGCTAAGTGAAAAAGGCCAGGGAGTGTGTGACCCCACTTCCATGAACTTCCCAGAACAGGCAAATTGCTGGGACGGGAATTAGAGCCGAGAGGCCCGGGGCCTGGTGGCAGAGGACCAGGGGCCCTGCTGTTAAATGGGTGGAGAGTTTCTGTTTCAGATAATGAACATGTCCTGGAGACAGACAGTGACCACGATTGCCCAACAACAGGCAAATGTACTTATGTCACTGAATTGTACACTTGAACAATGGCTAAAAACGTGAAGTTTATGGTATGCATATTTAGCCACATCAAAAAAATAGAAGGATGAGAAACATACTATACAAACATTAATCCAAAGAAAATGTAAATGGTGGTATTAGATTCCAATTGCTGCTGTCACAAATCCCCACAGGCTTCATGGCTTAAAACAACACAGACATATTATTGTACAATCCTAGGGCTCAGAAGTCCAAAATCAGTCTCAGTGGTGTCAAGTCAAGGAATAGGGAGACATTCGTGTACTCCATCTTGGTCCAGAACCGGAAATCTAAAATGCAATGGGTTTCTGTATATTGACCACGTACCCAGAGATACTGCAAAACTCCCTTTTCATTTGTAATACATATTTTTATTATTGTGGGTTTCCTGTGCACATGACTGTGTCATCTCTGCATAATACAATAATATTCTTATCCGTTTCAGTGCTTTCACTTTGTTTTGCTTTAATGCAATAATTTATGTAATATTTAATAAAATAAATTGTATTTTCTTATTTAATCATGCTAACATGGTACCAAGCTAACAGAACTGATCATAGGAAACATTTGGATATTCTCAGTCATAGAGGGAAGGACCCCAAGGTCCCACCTTTACAAATGACGTCTAGTGTCCATGGCTACATGTACCTCTATAGGTAACAGAAAATTTCCCTATTGTTTCTGATGAATTTTTATTTTCATCATGAATTATTGGTGCATTTTATCAAGCCTTTATCCACATCTGTGGAGATGATCATTTTTTACTTATTCTGCTAATGTGTTGGTTTATATGGGTTGATTTTGAAAAACTTAAGAGACCCCGGTGGCCATGAGGTGTCCTTTTCATACATCACCAAATCTTGTTTGAGATGTTTTGTTTAGGGATTTACGCCTAAGTCCATGTGAGAAGGCATCCTGTGATTTCCCCGTTTTACAATTTCCTTGTCTGGTTTTGGTGTAAATTTTTTCCTTGACTGAGAAAATGTGTTGGGTGTGTTTCCTCTTTTTGTAGTCACAGGAAAGGTTTTGCAAGGTTGGGGTGTGTGTGTTTCACAAGTGCATAAGCGTTTAGGGGAAGTGGCCAGGGTGGCCTCCTGAGCTGACACATGGACACATTGCAACATGATCACGGTCTTACTGTCAGCTCACACCTCCGTGCCTACACGAGTTGCCGTGTCTTTTCTGTGGTGGGTACATTTAAGGTCTGTTCTCTTAGAATCACTCAAGAACAGGATACAGTATTATCAGCTATCATCGCTAAGCTGCCCATCAGATCCCCAGAAAGCATTTATCTTTCAACAGGAAGCGTGTGCCCCAGGCCAGCAGCTCCCCATTTCCTGCCCTCCCCCGTCCCGGGAACCGCCCTCTACTCTGTTTCTCTCAGTGATGTTTTTAGATTCCACAGTTCAGTTGTGGGACAAGTTTTGATTCCAGCATCAATGTATATATAAGGGGATACGTATTTTCCATTTATTTTTATCTCCACCATTTTGGTAAATTATATTTTTGAGGATTTTGTCCATTTCCCCGGCAGTCTCTCCCGTGCTGGCCTGCAGTGGTTCACAACAGTCTGTTCCCCACAGTCTGTGGCACCTGCCCTGCTGTCCTGATGAGGGGCGTGGGGGCCTTCTCTCTCTTTTTCCTTGGCCATGCGGCTGGGATTGATAAATGTGATTAAAGTTTTCAAGAACGAGGTTCTCTGGACTGTTGACTTTCCTCTAGGTTCGCTGCCACTCTCGGCAGTATTCCCCTCCTTCTGCCTTCGTTTGGAAGAACATGACGCTTTTCCCACACGCCTGATACAGTACCTTTGGTGGCTGACTGTTTTCCTACATTCCTACTATATCCTGATACATTCACCCGCGGTTCCTAACTTTCCATTTCATGGGTCTGCCGTGTCCACGTCCCTTCTGACTCAATGTAAAACCCTCTCTCACTCCCGCGTGGTTTTCCCATTTCACCCGGGGATTACTGAGACGTCCAAACACAGGGGTATCGGCTGTCCTTGCTGCAGGATCAGGGGCTCCCAGAGGGTCCCAGGAGCTCCTGGAGGTCCACATGAGGAGTCCAGGCCGCCGGGTCGTTAGGTAGTGTCCACGGGGGCAGGTTTGGGGTGCCGGCAGTCTCCCCCTGGCGTGCGGGTCAGGCCCTCGTGGCTAGCGGGTGGCCAGAGCCGCATACACGCTGGGCTCTGCTGGGGGCTGCCCTGCCTGGGAGGGAGGGGACGCCGGGGTCGCCCGTCTGAGGGTCGGGTGGTTCAGCTGGGCGTAGGTCACCTCCTGGGGGGCGTCAGGTGCAGCAGCCTGCAGTGGGGGAGGGGGACAGGGCAGGCATGTGGTTGGGGTGGGGATGCCTGGGACCCAGAGAGGAGGGGACCCACCTGACTGTCCATGCGCCTGTCCTCCTCTGCTTGACTGTCCGGGTCCAGCAACGTCCCCTGAGAGGTGGCCGCTCCCCTGCTGAGTCTTGACCTGGAGTGGCTCACCTGGGCATACGTGCCCCCCGGGGCGTCTTTGTCCTGCGGGCTCTGCTGGAGAGACAGTGGGGAGGTCGGTCCGGATCCCGCTCACCCTCCCTCAGCCAGTTTTACACAGGCTGCCAGGGAGATGCCTCAGGACTTCCAGTCAGATCCGGTCCCTCCCCATGGGCTCCTCAGGGGCTTCCTAGGCTCGGGCCATTGGGATGCTGTGCAAGGTTCTGACTCCCACCCCGGCACGATCTCCTGCTCATTTGGCTGCAGCCACACTCCGCCTTCCTGAAAAAGCGGGGCACTGCCCCAGGACCTTGGCACCTGCTGCTCCCTCTTCCCCACCCCTACACTCTCCCCTCTTGCTCCCTTTTCCTTCACAGCAGAGCACCCAGGACCCTAACCCCCGTCCCCACATGTCTCCCACCTCAAGGTGAGGCAGGTGAGGCAGGGGTCACCGCTGCACCTAGAGATGCGGGGGAAGGGTGAGCCCGTGCAGCCCTGTCGGGGAGGAACGCAGGGCCGCAGGGACCTCGGGGTGGTTCCTTTGCAGCTGCGCCCTCCCGGACCCTGGGGCGCGTCCGATAGCCAGCCGGTCAGACAGAGGACGGGGAGCCAGGAGGGCTGAGGTCCCAGCAGCGCGACCCAGGTGCCCGAGGAGGGAGAGGCCAGCCGTGGGGCGCGCTGAGCTGAGGGACGCGAGGACAGAGTGTCCACTGGGTGAAGTGCGGCAGCGGGCGGGCCCCGGGGAAGCAGGGGCCTCACCTGGGGGTCCGGCTCCACCCCCTCTGGCTGTGCGTCCATCACGGTGGCATCTGTGGGCACAGAGAGGTGGCTCTTGCTCAGAGTCCCTGCGACTGTGAGGCTGCAGGCCCCGCCCTGCTCCCCAGGGGCCGCCCTGACCCGGGGTGAGGTGGTGTGGGAGTCGCGCAGTGTGGGGCCCCAGACCGCCCAGTCCGTCCCCAGGGCCCCCCTTCTGCTCACAGAGGGTCTCCTGGGCGTCATCAGCGGGGCCGGAGCTGAGGGGGAGACGGGGCGTTAGGGGCCGGGGCTGAGGACGGGGTGGGTCCCGGGGCCGCGGGGACAGACTGACCTGCGCTGCGGGCCTCTGTCCCCGGACTCGGCGTCTGCAGCACCTGCAAGAGGGGGAGTCAGCCTCTTCCGGGCTGGGGGTCAGGACGCCCCTCCACGTGGGTCCCAGAGGAAACCAGAAAGTGGGGGCGCATCCCTGCCTGTCTTTTCAGTGTTGGATGAGATCGAAAAGATGAAAAAGTGCTTTAAATTTGCAAGCGTGCCCTGACAGGAGTGTTTCCTGCCTAGACTGTGGGGTTTGAGATTCCGGAAGGTCTTTTCCTGAACTGACCTTTCCCGCCCTGGTCCCCCCCGCACTGCTGGGTCCCGGGAGCCCCCCCTGGGCCCCGGCTCCCCCGTCCCCACTCACCCGGCTTCCTGCGTCTGCGTAGCCGCTGGCGGCGGAGCAGGAGCAGCAGCAGGACGGCCAGCAGGAGGGCGCAGGCCGCGGAGACCCCGACGAGGACCAGCACCGGCCACTTCGGGCCTGGGTGGGGCGGGGCACAGGGCTGTTCAGGGGCGCCCGCTGGGGGCCAGGCAGGGTGTCCCTCCAACTCTGCCCGCAGGCCGCCCACCACCCATGTTACAGGAGGGGAGCGGGGGTGGGAGGGGCCCGGGACTGGCTCCCTGTGCCCCCCTCCTGCCCCCAGGGGGACCTGGCTTCGGGCTCCGGGACCCCATCAGCAGGCCGCCTGACCCAGGGTCTCCATCTGGGCCGAGAGTCCGTCCTGCCCACCTTGTTGGCTGAACCCCGGCCCTTGCCCTGCCTCCGCTCCCTGAGCAGTGTCCCCTCACTGTGCACAGGGAACAGGCCCTGAGCTGACTGAGCTCAGACAGGACAGGTCAGGGGCCCCTCACCTGACACCTGGAGCTCCAGGGGGACACTGGGATGTGACAGCAGGTAGGGGGCGCTGCTGTTTGCGCTGTAGCACCTGTAGGTGCCCCCGTGGGCTGAGGTCACAGGGCTCATGGGGAATTCGGCCTGGCTCTGCTGTGCCCCGTTCTTTGATCTGAGACGCAGGGGGGCCTGGGCTGCGCCCTCCTTGGACAGAAGGAAAGTGTCCCTCGGGCTCCCCGACTGGCACAGCAGGGTCACCTTCTCCCCTGGGGCCACCGTGGGGCCCGGCTGCACCGAGAGGGAGGGTCTGTCCGGGAGCTGTCCTAGGGAGAGGACGGTGGGTGAGGGGTGCGGCTGCCCTGTTCTGATGGAGCCCCCAGCCTCTCTGCCTCTCTCCCTCCCTGGGGTCCCCACACCCCCATATCTGGACATCATCACCGGCGCCCCCAGCAGGCCCTGTGCAGAGTCTGGGCCCCCGACTGACCCGCCGGCTCCTCACCTGCCACCAGGACATCCAGGGGGTCGCTGGGGGCTGACCACTCGGAGGAGAGGCTGTGTCCCCCGTAGCACCTGTACTGGCCCCCGTGTGAGGGTCTCACAGGGCCCAGGGGGATGTGGGCCTGGGGCTGCCGCACGAGGCTCTGGGGGAGGCCTCGTCCCCCATCCTGGGTCAGAGCGAACCTGTCATGGCCGACGTCAGAGTGACACTGGAGGGTCAGGTTCTGCCCAGGGGTCACGACAGGGCCCTGCTGGCTCAGGAGGGAGGGCTTCCCGGACACACCTGGGGAAAGACCAGCGGGCATGGCAGGGGCTGCTCCCCAAGCCCCCTCCCGTCCCGACCTGGGTCTCACTGTCTCCCACCCCCTGTGTCTCTGGCCCAGGAGCCCCGGGCTCCCCTCAGCCCGCCCCCTACTCTGGGCTCCCCTGGGAGTAGAGCCCCCTAACCTGTCTGTTGCCTCCAAACCCAGACGGGGCAGGGCTGGTCCTCACCTGAGACCAGGAGGTCCAGGGGTTCACTGGGCTCCGACCACATCTGGAGGCTGTTCCTGAAATAGCCGTAGCATCTGAACGTCCACCTGCGGCTGGAGGTCACGGGGCCCACGGGGAACAGGGCCTGGCGCTGCCCACCAGGGAGTCGCTGTGCATCCAGGGTCCTGGAGGGCTTGTGTTCTCCATCCTCCATCAGAACGAACTGTTTGAATCCCTGCCATGAGTGACACTGAAGGGTGACGTTCCCTCCTGAGGTCACGACAAGGCTGGGTAGAGCTGAGAGGCTGGGTTTGCTGTAGGCTCCTAGGAGAGGGGAGGCCGCCGTTATAAATGGGGCTCATGTTCCCACATTCACCCCAGGGTTGGGGTGGGAGAGGGGCACCCGAGAGCAGACTCCCTTCCTGAGGGCAGAGCCTGGGGCTGGGGCCCTGAGTGGGTCTCACCTGTCACCACCAGCTCCAGGGGGGCACTGCGCTCTGACCAGCCAGTGGGGCTGTGATAGGAACAGCGATATGTCCCTGTGTGCTTCCATGTCATGAGTGGGTTGGAGAACGTGGCCTTGTCCCCGGGCCCCAGTGGTTTCTGTGTGTCCCAGGGCTCTGAGCTTTCCTCTTTCTCCAGACGGTACCACTGGGCCCCCGGGGTGCCCTGACACCAGATGGTCACAGGGCTCCCCTGGGGGACCACAGAGCCTGGCTCAGCCCAGATGGTGGGTTTGGGGAGGGTCCCTGGAAGGAAACCAGAGGCTGGGTCCCGAGCCCTCCAACCCAGGGTCCCCAGCTCAGACCCAAACCTCCCAGACGCCCACCCCTCAGCCCAGACCTGCAGGTCTCCATGCCCAGCTGCCCAGGGGGTGGCCCTCGTCCCCGTGAGGAGGAGGGGCCTGGGCCCTTGGGAACAGACTCACCGGCCTGCACGCGGGTCCTCGGGCCCACACTCAGCCCTGGGAGAAAGTCTGGTGAGGTCCCTGCCCTGGAGCCTGAGCAGGTCCCCCCTCCCCCTGAGGCTGCTGAGCCCTGGGGTCTCCTGACAGAACATTTGGGGCTGGGGGGCGGTCCCCCGCGGGTCCCCCCCGGGCGGGTCCCCCCCTGACCAGGGCGCCCCCAGTGCTAACCGAGGCAGAGCAGGGCCGTGAGGGTGGGCGTCATGGCGGCTGCTCTCTGCGGCCACGGTGCCCGTAGGACAGGCCTACCACGGGGTGTGGCACTGGGGGGAGGGCTCTGTGTCACGGGGCCCACGTGTCCACGGCCCGCAGGAAGGGGAACAGCCTCCCGGAGCCCGGCCCTGGGTCCCTGCGCAGCAGCCAGTAGCCCCATGCCTCCCCGAGACGCCCCTTCAGGAGAGGGGGACCAGCCACGGCCCTCCTCCCAGGGCCTCCCCAGGGGTCTCCCTCACCCAGCCCTCCCACCAGCATGTCCCGCGGGGCCTCGCCCGGGACGGGGTCCCCCAGCCCTGTGGGTGCTTCAGGGGCCACACCATCCAGCTGCCCTCAGAGCCCAGGGCAGCAGACCCACGTCTGCCAGGTCACTGCGCATTCAGGGCCGGGGCGCCGAGGCCATGAGCCCCGGGGGGACGCGGGGAGCAGGGCAGGGAACCGGCCGCCTCAGGGCTGGGCTTGGGGCTCCTCACCCCTGCCCCTCAGGGGCTTCCCTTGTTCCTGAGCACGGCGTCCCCCCCACCTCCTGGGTCCTTCCTGCCTCCTCACGCCCCTTGTTCCTGGGGCAGGGCTCTGCCCCCCACATGGTCCCGCCTCAGCTTTGGGGGGCAGTGCGTGGTTAGGGCTGGTCAGGACAGCGCTGATTCCTGGGTAAGTGTTCTTCGCCGCCCACTGCCAGTGTGCCCGTGGGAGTCACCCCCTGGTCTCTGAACCTCAGGCTCCTCCTGGGCCGCGTGCTGTCCCGACCCCGCTCCTGGGGTGGCCGCGGGTCAGTGGTGCCCAGGACGGTCAGTCATTGTGAACCTGCAGGCCTGGTGATGCGTGTGGCGTCTTCAGCGGGAGAGGTCGTGGCGTCGGCCCCACAGTGCAGGTGGGAGATGGGTGTCCCCACTCCAGAGCCCCATGTGCTCGTAAAGCCGAGAAATGGTCTCTGTAATATTTCTGAAATACGCAGCCACAGTTATGCAAAAAAAGGGAACTGAAATTGAGAGGGAACCACAGCGGGAGTGGCCAGACCGAGTGGCCTCTGGTGCCGGGCACAGCCCTCGGTCATCAGAGGGGAGGTGTCCTTCTGGGGACAGGAGAGGGGGCCTGTTTCCTCAGGAGGGAGGTTCCGTGCTCCGGGTGAAGAGAGGCGATGTCCCCCCACCCACGTTTGGGACGGGCGCTGGCACCCCTCTGCCCCCACCCCCACCCCAGTACCGACCCTGCCCTTGTGTGGGGGGGAGCAGGTTCTGTCCAGGGGAGTCTGACTGGAGCGCGCGTCCCTGGGTGAGTGTGAGGTCCCCTTGGGGCCGTCCCTGCGGGCACAGCCCTGATCAGATGCTACGTGGGGACAGTGGGCGCCAAGGGCCCGGGCAGCTGCCACTACCTGCGCCTGCACCCTGCCCCTCCGGGCGCGCCGGAGAAGCTCCTGCAGGGCGGGCGGGAGGGGAGTGTCCACCAAGGAGGGCGTGGAGGGGTGACTCCAATAATGGGGATTCGTACTGCGGAAGAGGGTCTGCAGCCCCGTGTGGGGCCTCTGTGTACAGAGGACAGAGGCCCCGAGGGTGTATGCGACTCACTGTAATTGACGCATGTTCAACTGTCTGAAAATGAAGGAGGGAATCGGCTTCTTGGAACAACATCAGGGTTTATATTACAGAAGAGTACAGAATTTTATAAATGAATTAGAAAAATATCTTAGAGAGAAATATAATACTTTCTTATAATACATTCAAAAGAATCCTTCCATCAGGGAGAAGATCATAGTATGAAATTGGAATACAGCTTAGAGGGCATCTTTTACGATGCAACGCAGAGAGTCTGGAATTAGAAAATTAAGATCCACGGGGAACAGAAAGAGAGAGGCCAGTGGATATTGTGAGAGCTGAAGGGAAGCGTGAGATGATGTCTGGGAACAGCCCAGGAGGCCAGCAGCTGGGCATGTCCCACAGATGCAGAAATACACGTCAGTGCCAGGGTGCATAAGTATGAACACGAAATCTGTAGCTTGATATTCAAGGGGAAATTTATTCATTTGTCTCCAAACACTAAAAGATTAAGTGACCTACTTAAGGGTTAGAAGAATGTATGTCTCCCAGAAAGGAGTTTATACTAACAGAAAGCTCTTATCTGATAAAAATCATTAAATAATATTTTGGTTTTAATTTTACTCATTTCGATTATAACCCAGAAAAAATGAAGAAATCCCCGAATGAAAGACCATTTGTACATTTACAAATGGATAAATTCAGTTGACCAAACCCTAACCCTTTAAGTACTTTTAATTAGCAGCTAAAACTTCTCTGGTTAGACTGAATTTTCCCTTGTTCTGATTTTATGCCCAGGCTAATGATACTGTGATTTACCTTAAAAAATGTCTCCCTAAGCTCCCATGTGAAACCGTTACAGAAAGTCACTGTGAAGCCTCTTGTGTCATCGTGTAACAGACCGTCCCTGGTATGTTGCAACTGTTACATTTATTTTTTCAAAATGAATTTCATGTAGTCTTCTGCCCAACATACAGGCTGTATTTCTGAAAGGCAGTTGATCAGACATATTGTGCCCCCACCATCACCAATGTGACAGACTAGGAGATTAGATTTGTTAGAAGGGACGTCAATAAAAGTCCACTTCAGAACCACTGTGGAAGTGACCGTTTCAGGCACCTCAAATACAGTTCTTAAGACCCAGGTCCGCAGCCAAAGATACATGCTTCCCCATGTCACTTAAAGGTGCCATGGATCCTATAGCCAGGATTTCCCAACCTGCTGAGAACTGATTCTGACATTCATCACAAGGTCTCTGGAGATGCAGACAATTTTCCTAAGTCATCTCTGTCCCAAGATTCTACAGATGGAATAGAGAACATTGGGTGTAGACTGTGGACACGTGACTTACCTTTAGACTTCCATCTCATTTTGTGTATTTTCTGGCTGAGAATCCTGCCAGGGCCTGAGATCTCTGTGGGGATGGTTCTGCTTATGGTTCAGGCTGCCTTTTGCTCAGGATGTTCTGTGCGTACTGTGATCTTTTTGCTTGTAGTTCACATTCCCTGGAACTTTGTGCGGATTTTTGAGGCTTGTGCTGGGGAAATCTCCTTCCTTTCCCCAGCTTGGTTTTACTTCCTCCAGGCCCCTGGGGCACTACCAGCCTCCGTAAATGTTCAACCCGCATCACTCGGTAAGTGAAGATCTGTAGTGTTTTCAGACACGTGGGTGGCATGACCCGGGGCCACACGCGGTGTGAGGGCGGGCCCGCAGCCGTGTGTTCCCAGAGGAGACATTCTTCCCTTCAGCCAGAACGGAGGCAAGTCGCACAACTTTTTCTGCTGTCTGCTTTTTCATGTAAAAATTATTTTTGTGACCTGCCCTTTCTCTGAGGGCCCAGTTCTTTGTGGTTCCTGGTTTTAGGGAGTCTCCAACCCAACCTGAACTCCTGTTTTGCCATTTTAAAACTAGAATTCTAGGCCACCTGGGATTAGTCAATGCTCCCAGAGCAGCCGATGCCCCTAGTATTTGCTTACCTCCCTAAATGTATGCTCATTTCACTCTGATTTGAGAGGATTTCCATTTGCAAATTCGGTCATGTTTTATTTTTACTTAAAAAATGTTTGTATTGAGGTACGCACAATAAAATGCACAAATCCTAGCGTACAGCTTGATGGGTTTTGACGTGTGTCTACACCCATGTAATGTCTGCTAAGATATCAGACATTCTTACTAATTTTTTTCCCTTTCACCTATTTCATCCATCCTCTATGCCCCTGTGGCAACCACCAGTCAGTTTTCTGTGTTTATGAGCCTATTTCTGGTTTTGTTGTTCATTTGTTTCACTTTTTAGATTCTGCATATAAGTGAAATCTTACTGTATTTGTCTTTCTCCACCTGGCTTATTTCACTGAGCATAGCGCCCTCAAGGTCCATCCACATTGTTGCAGATAGCAAGATTTCCTCCTTTTTATGGCTGAGTAATAGTCCATTGTATATATGTACCACTTCTTTATCCAATCATCTGTCAGTGGACACCTAGGTTGTTTCCTTATCTTAGTTATGTGAATAATGTGGCAATAAACACAGGGGTGTCTATATTTTTTCAGATCAGGGATTTTGTTTTCTTCCAGTGAATTCCTAGAAGTGGAGTTACTGGGTTGAATGGTATTCTTTTTGAGCAACCTGCATACTGCTTTGCACAGTGGCCTCACCAATTGACATTCCCGCCAACAGCGTAGCAGGGCTCCCTTTCTCCGCTTCCTCGCCAGCACTTGTTATTTCCTGTCTTTCATAGTAGCCATTCTGGCTAGTGTGAGCTGATAGCTCACTGTAGTTTTGACTTTCATGTCTCTGATGATTAGCAATGTGGCACAACTTTTCATGTGCCTGTTGGCCTTCTGTACGTCTTCTTTAGAAAAATGTCTATTTGGTCCTCTGTCTATTTTTAAATCTGGTGTTGGGTTGTATGAGTTCTTTATATATTTTGGGTATTAACCCCTTATTAGATAAATTAATATTAGCCCCTTGTCAGACATATAGTTTGCAAATATCTTCTCCCATTCCGTAGGCTGCCTTTTCATTTTGCTGATGGTGTTCTTTGCTGTCCAGAAACGTGCTAGTTTGATACAGTCCCACTTGTTCATTTTTGCTTTTGTTTCCCTCGCCTGGGGAGACAGATCCAGAAAAAAAATGACAGATGCTGATGTTCAGGAGTTCACTGTCTCTGTTTTCTCCCAGGAGTTTTATGGTTTCAGGTCTTGTATTTAGGCGTTTGATCCATTTCAAGTTTGTTTTTCTGCACGGAGTAAGAGTGATCCAGTTTCATTGTCCTGCGTGCAGCTGTCTGGTATTCCCAACACCATTTACTGAAGAGACTGTCTTTTCCCTATTTGTCTATTCTTGCCTCCTTTGTCACATATTAATTGACCAGATAGGGCTTATTTCTGGACTCTTTATTCTGTTTCATTAGCCTGTGTATCTGTTCTTGTGTCAGCACCATATGTATGGTATGTATGTAATACACATATTATATAATATGTATAAAATGGTTTGTGATATATGTGTATAAATCAAGTAAATAAGGAAAATATTTTGTGATATATATAGCACATATTTAAAGTCCTTATTGTCCCTAAAGGGATGAATATTTATTAGTCAAAATTCAGACATCCCTAATTCTTTCCGTGTTGCTAGCGTGTACATTCTCTTCTTGAGTATGTATGGTGCAATTTAATTATAGCAATAACAGTAAGAAGATATTACTAAAGAAATCTAATACTTCATGATGTTAGTAAAATACTTCAACATGGAATGTTTGTTTAAATCTCTGAAATACTAAGTAAAAAAGGTGATGACATTACATCATATCAAAACTTGGAGAATGTTAGAATCAAAAAAGCAGGTTCAGCAAGACGTCAGATTCACAGAGATGTCAGCAGAATGGCATAATAAGAGTTCCTACCATTAAGCCCCAAAGATAATTGGTTTGGCAACCAAAGCCGGAGGCAGGTGAACCCCATCTCTCAAATGCCCCCAAGGCCATGTTGCTGACCTGCATCCCATTCAGATTCAGGGACATGATGAGTCTGGAAGCTCATATGGACCCATTTTCTATTCCTCACTACATATCCTGTGATGTTGGGCAGTGCGTTTGTCCAGAGACCCAGTGTCTCACCAGGAAAGTGGCTCTGAGTAGACTCAGGTGAGGCTGAACAGGTAGATGGTGGTCATGTTTTGGGGGAACCTCAGTGCCGACATGGGAAGTGTTTGTTCTACCAGATCAGGAGCAACTTTGGTTGATGCTCAGTGTCTAGGGAAGGCCGTCGCCCCCTCCATCCTACTTCAACCCCACTGCACTAAATTTTATGGAAAATAAGCATAAGTTATGAATAGAAAGGTGTTATTTACCACTAACAACAAAAGACTTGCCACTCGACAAATAAAAGTCCATAAGAACATTACCAGGTCCAGGTAGCAGCTTCCATCTTCAACAAAACTTCCAAAGTCTCCTTGTTCTTTACACTGAATTATGTGGGAATGTTTCCCTTCAAATATTTATAGGTCTGAATAGAATTATGTCCCCCAAAGAATGCATGTTTCTCCTTTTAACTTAATGCATACAATGGAATAACATCGTGCTTAGTATTTCCCTTTGCTATCGTGCTTGAAAAGTTATCTGTATTCCTGTTTACAGTTTTAGTGTGTGTTTTTCCCAATGTAAAATATTCCATTACACATATATAACATCACATTCACTGGCTGCGGTATCATTTCTGTGGTATTTGTCTACGTTGAACGACATGCCTGTCAATATTCTTTTGGAAATGTCACACGCTTGCCCACACACGTTCCTGTATGCGGTTATGGGCCAGAGCTGCGTGTCTTCCTCAAACTGACGGAAGCAGCTTTTACTCCTCCCAGTTTGTGTTGGGATTCTAGGCACTCCCTAATTCTCCCGCAATGGCCCATTTTCTCCTTTTGCCTGTCACGTGGATGTACTGGGACTTGGGCACCACGATCTCACTGAAACTGTGGTATAACCTTAAGGCAGAAATCACCATGGCCTTTAAAACAGAAGAAATATGCGTGCAGCTCAGGGTCCCTGGTGAGCTGGGGTCCGGCTGGACGGTACACACTCGCCAGAGGCCTCGTATGCATTCCACCCCAGCTGCACGTACACTGGTGCCTTGAAGTTGGCCATGAGGGAGTATTTACACCAAAGGAACAGGCAAATGCCATGAATCAGGGCCTTGGGAGAAACTACTTTTCAGAGTTGGTTTGCCAGCACGGCACCGAGTCTGTCATCTGACAGAGAGAGAAGCACCTGGTGAGTCCCGAGGGGGATTTAGGAAATGGGTCTGGATTTACCTCTTCTGTGCTGGACCCAATTTTCACCCATTTATGCAGCCACCTAACACATTCTGTGCTCTGAGCTGAAGAGAAGTACATCAAGGAATGTGGCTGATCAAAATAAGGAAGAGTGTGTGTGCGTGTGTAAATGTGGACTCTGACTTTTAGTTATATGTTTCTGAGTCATGTTCCTTTCTTCTACCTACCTTTTCTTTTAGAAAATAAATGATGGCGCTGATGGACAGTGACTGCAGTGGAGTGTGTGTGGGGACTTGATAATAGGGGTGAATGTAGTAACCATTCTGTTGCTCATGTGAAACCTTCATAAGATTGTATATCAATGATACCTTAATAAAAAAAAGAAAATAAATGATGGAAGATGTACAACACATCAGGCAATTTTTTTTAGGATCTAGAATTATACACAACTAATATAACTTCTCATTGCACAACCTCTGTGCAGTCTAGACAGGAAGTTTGATAAGAAACAATCAAATAAAGATATATGATAAAGTAGCATATTCATCTGGACAAAAAGACAGGCGTCTGTAGACCTAAGACAGGCTCTGGTAACATGACACAAGGACCACCAAGAAGCACCAGTGCCCGGGGTGGGGAAGGAGTACTGACCACGCGTTGTTAGGGAAGATGTTTCGGAAGGGGACCCTGTCCAGCTGACAGCCGGCTGCTCGTGGATATTGGGGCAGAAACCCTGCCTTTCTCTCTCTCCCTCATAATGACAGCGGTTACTGGGGAGCCAGGACCTGCTCAGCATGGCCTGAAGTCCCAGGAGAGAGAAAGGACCCCTGCGCCTCCTTCCACAGAAATTCACTGGCACTGGAGTCAGAACTGACCGGGACAGATTCTGTCTTTGCCGGCTGGCAGAACGACGTCCCAGATACCGGTGGGGTTTGTCAGTGGGTCAGTCCAAGAGTGGCTGAGCCAACCAGGGCTCGGCTTAGGCCCCCAACAGTCCTACCCGGAGCATAGAGGCGCCCCGAGCTCTTCCTGCGCAGGCTGAGGCCCTCGGAGCCCTGGTGGGGCCGGGATCCTGGAATCAGCACCAAGGACAGGGTCCAGGCCTGGGGTCTCTCTGCCCGCCTCACCCGCATCAGGGGGCTCCTTCCTCTCTTTGGCTATGCCCCACACTGACCACCTGGCAGGCGCCAGTGACCTGGAGGCTGCCTGAGACAGGAGGCCCCTCCGCAGACCCCGCCTTTCCTCCCCAGCCGCTGTGGGGAACAGCGCCTTCTGTGTACGTCTGGCATGTTGACCTGAGAATCTGGCAAAGCCTGGTAGAACCTGAACCTCTGGGCGTGGAGGCCTTGTTACCCAGCAGACATGAGGTTCCTCCGTGGGGGTGAGGGTCTACACCCCAAATGCTGTAGGAACAGGACAGGAGAGGCTGTGGGGCTGTGGCCCATCTTCATGTATCTTCACCCCAGGGCTTTGCCTCAAAGGTCAGCTCTTTACACCCTCAGTCTCTGCCCCGCACAGCCCGGCCCTGCCTCTGTGCCTCTGTGGGGTGGGGTACAGAGAGAGCCTGGGGCTCCCCACCTTCCATCACTCCACGGGGTGGGGTCCCCAGTGGCTGACCTCAAGGTGCCTCCTTCCCTCTCCGCCCAGTCCAGTGCCCCCTGTGACCTCTGACCTCTATCAGACATGGAGACACGGTCCCTCCTGGCACCCCCACGGGCTTGGGTCAGCCGAGAGGGAGGGTGGGCTGCACACTCCTGAGGGGGCGAGCGGAGCCGTGTTAGGGGGCTGTCACCCCACACCCCTGAACCCCCAGCACCACAGATGTGTCTAGAGTAGAGAGATGAGAAGACGTCCCCTCAGGGCCCCCCTCAGCCTCTGTGGTCAGCTGGGGCTTGGGAAGGGACCCGCCTGGTCCCAAGGGCTCTACGAAGGCCCACCTGTGAGTGGCAGACATGCTCAGCGGCCCGTTGGAGGACGTTCCCGAGGGTGGGCGTGGGCTGCGGACCCGGGAACCGCGCCCATCTGGACGGAGGAAAGCAGAAGTGAGACTGGGGGGAGGTCATATGGGGGCTGATCCCGAGCAGCCTTGCTGTCAGAGGGGAGTGTGGGTGGACACGAGGCCAGCGAGGACCCCGGGAGGACGTGGGCGGGACTGCGGGACGGAGGGGACGCAGGGCGGAGGGGCCCTGGGGGCTGCGTGGTCATTGCGTGAACGGCTGCGGGGGCAAGAGACGGGCCTGAGGGTGACCGTCACCCCCTGCCTGGGTGTCCTGGAGGGGTCAAGGGCGACCTCAGGGAACCGGCGTAGGGGGCTGCGGCCTGGGGTTTGTGCCGTCCTCTTCTGCTCCCCCAGGAAAGCGCAGGTCCTCGCGGCCCCGCACCCGGGTGGTTCTTCTCATACAGATTCCTCCTGACGCGCCGGTTTCTGTGACCAGCACGTCCCCCTCTCTGCTCCTTGGGGCAAATCACTTGCGTCATTTCTGCCTCTCAGAACACCCTGCAAGGCTCTTCACCTCAACCTGTGGAGACGCTACCGGGTTCAGACAAGGATGGCTCTCAGGAAGCTCGCTTCTGAGGACAGTAATGAACATATATTTTCATTTTTCCACAGAGCAATGGAGAGGGAGGCCACGAGAGGAGGCAGCCTTCTAAAGAGCACCCGCCCGTCCAGGAAATGGCAGATTTAAGGACAGCTGGAAGAGAAGGGTGTGAACGTCCCCAGTTACAATGTGCAACTGCCTATTTCTCTTCAGCTCAAGCAGGCTGCCTCTTGTGTGGTGAAACTTGTGTCTAGTTGAATGCACCTTTAGAATTATGTTTTCTTGGAGAATAGACCTTTTTTTCATGCAATGCTACTCTGTCTTTGATAATATTGTTTTGCTCTGAAATATATACCTTGTCTGATGTTCACAGAGATGCTCAAGATTTCATGGGTTAGTATTTGTATATATGTATCCTCCTCCAGACATTTATATCCACTATTTATTATAATTTATAAGGATTATTATTTACATGGAAGCATACATAATGAATTTAAAGAGTGTTTCTTATGGACGACGCTGGTTGGGTCTCCCTTTTTTTTTTTTTTTTTTTTTGTCCTGTGTCCTGTGGTCTCTATTTTAGGAAGATTTTTCTTTGTTATATTTTCATAGCTCTATGTGTTTTTGGGAGGAGATTTCCACTGCTCTACTCACGCCGCCATCTTGGCTCCGCCGGCCCTGGGTCTCCCTTTTTTATCCAAGCTACAATCTCTGCCCTTAAACCAGTGTATATTACACAATTCACGTTTGAAGTGATAATTGCTGTGGCTGGAATGAGTTCGGCCATCTTGCTCCCTTTTTCATTTATGCTGGGGGTCCCATTCTATTTATTTACTTCATCCTGTGTTGTCTACTTTAATTTAGTTGAACATTTTTATGATTCCAGTTTATATTCCCTATAGAGAAAGTATTGACATTCTGTTTTCTTTCTTCTCCAGCGATTGCTAAGACTTCACAAAATTCATTTTTTATCACACAGGTTCTGCCTCAGCTATATGACTGCGTCTGTACTATAAGGGCCTAACTGTTGTATATTCTTATTTTGTCCCTTCTGTTCTTTGTGCTAAACACACAATACACTGTCGCTCTTTTTGCATATACCAATCAATTGGGTTTTAGGAAAGAAAGTTAGAAATCAAGTTTATTTACCTTCCCTAGTTCCGTTTCCCATGCCCCTTATTCCTTATGTAGAGCCGAGTTCCTGACTGACATCCAGGTCCTCTGCTTAGACAAGAACGTCCTTAACAATGCTTGCGGAGCAAAAATACGTTATAGCTCATAAATTCACCACTTAGGAAGTGTATATCCCCTGGAATTAGGATTCCCGTTGGGTAGTTTGTTTCCCTTTAGGCACGTTCATGTTATCTCCCTTTCTGGTAAGTCTGCTATAGTTCTTACCCTCATTCCTCCGTAGATAAACTGTTTCTTTTCTCTGGGTACCTTCACTTTATCTTTACCCGTGCTGTCATCTGTGTGGATATGATACGCCTAATTTCTTTTTTTTGAGTTGTGACTTGTGTGCTCCTGTTTCAGATCACAATGTCTTAGCCTTTCACTGTTTTTCGTGACCTTGAGAGGTCTCAGTAGTGCTCATCCAGGTCGGTGGAATGTCCTGTAGTTCGGGTTTCTCTGATGCTTTCACACGACCGGACTGGGTTCATGAGCTTCGGGAGGAACATCACAGTGAGGTGTCCCTCCTGTCCTCCCGTTAGGAGTGCTGGTCTCCACGTTGCTGTCAGTCAGTTAGGCTGACGTGGTGTCTCCTGGAGTTCTCTGCTGTGAAGCCAGTGTCTTTCCCCATTCTGTGCTCCGTTCTTTGGAAGTGAGTGGCTTCAGTGCCCTTGCACCTTGGTGAAGCTTAATTCCCCACTCTAAAGTCAACCCTGTTACGTGATATGGCAAATAACAAGCGGGAAGTGGTGAGTCGGCAGCTGGGAACCCAGGCGAGGAGACATGTCACGTGTTCGCTCCTTCTGCCCTGTGCATCTCCGTCACCTTGACGATATTGCAGGAATAGACTTCCCAACGGCCCAGGATTCATGATGCAGAGCCTTGTCGCCCTAGCGATGCAGATCGAAAGCAGCCTAGATGATCTGGGAGCAAACTTACCAGACGTCTGGATGAGCCCCAGATAGTTCAGCAGAATCCCCAGCACCAGTTCACCCCAGATACATGAGCAAAATATGCTTCCTATTATATGCCAACAGAATTTTTGTGAATGTTTGTAATGGAGAAAATAACTAATTGATGATTCGAGCAGGGGCAAGATTCCGGTGGAAATTAGGCGGGAGATGTTAGCAGGGCTCCATCGTAAGGAGCCTTGAAGGCCTGTCTCGGAAGCTTGGGCCATGTCATGAGACCTAAATGGAGATCCACGAAGGATTTTCAAACAAGGAGCCACTTATGGGGTCTGAGAATAAACTCCCTGGGGATAGCAGAGTATGGACCTGCGGAAAAGGAATGTGCTCTGGTATCTGGGTCTTTGGGTATTTTGCATATTATATTTCATGTTGGTATTTTCAGACAAGAGCCCCTGAGTGGGGACTTGTTTCCTTTTAGGTAATAGGGAGATAATAAGTCCTCTATTCACTGTTATGCAAGTTGTAGACTGGTCAGCAGTGTAGAAGTGGGGAGAAACCTCACTAAAATGGAGTTGGGAGGCCAGCAGGGGGAACTGTTGGTTGGCACCACTGGAGGTCACCCCAGGAAGAGCTGTCAGTTAAGGACCCCAAGAGAAGAACCCTGGCCAGGAGGGAATCATGGGCTCCAGGTCTCAACAAGGAAAGGTGTGCATCGCATCCACTGTACAGAATCCAGGACCCCAGAAACGCAGACAATGAGACATGGCCCTCGCCCTGAGCTGCTTTTCTCCAGGGCAATTTTGTTCAAAACAACCTCCCACAACTTCCTCCTTGGTAAAGTAAGTTTCCTCTCCTTTGTGGGGCTACCCTGTGGTTTTCTCTGTAGCTTGTTTGTCACAAACTGATTCTGGGCTCTTCCCAGAGAAACCCATCTTTGCTGGTAAAAAAAAAAAAAAGTTTTGTGTTTAAGATCGACAGATGGAATACAGGTAAGGCATTATCTCGCGGTGCTTCCTCCGAGGGGATGCTTTGAAAATGTCTCTGCATAAGAAGTTGCTTTGCTAGAAAGTAGATGTGGAGTGGCTGCTCCTTTGTCCTAGAAAGTTCAGGACTATTTGGCTGTGCGTGTTTCTCAGGCTCACCTACCAACATACTCCATCCAGTGCAGAAGCATTTTATGCCCTTTCTAACAGGACACGGAGTCTGACATAAGACTATTTAGCTTTTTATGCCATGACTGAAATCCTCCCGCTAGGTTTGGGAGACATCAATGAAGAACTGTCTCTTGTCATTCATGCATCTTTCTTGTTTAAGGAACGTGAAAGGGTGGAAGAGAAATTGCCACTCCCTGGACAAGATCCATTGAGCTGAAGGTTTGTCTTCAGCTTGATTTCTCTTTATTTCCCAGGGCCTTTGTGCTTGACCTCAAGTGAACTGTAAATGCCTGCAATTCCTTTTGAAACAAGACCCAGTTTTCACCCTGCTCAACAACTAAGATAAGATTTCCATACTAAACATGTAGTTATATGGCATGCGGGCAATTTAAGAAAATATATACATATAAAATCTTCTACGCAGAAACGTGTGAATCATATAGTCATGTTGATACATCTTCTTGTATATAAAACTCAAGGGCCCCTGGATAAGAGTCTGGTCTGGGTGCCCGCCCAGTGGAGCTCTCCAGGACCCAGTGCTGAACCCACCTTATCCTATCAGGCTTCCCCTACCAGGTGAGAGGTAGTGAGGAGAGAGGGTGCTGGGGCACGGGCTTAAGGAGCACACTCTAGATTCCCAAGCACATCGCTGACCAGGCCCCCTGGCCCCCGTGCTCCAAGAATACACGGGGGTGGGTGGGGAGGCCCAACACAACGACCGTTTCGGGGCTGGTCCTCCTGGCTCTGCTGGAGGTGCAGGCCAAGGCCCAGCGGAACCAGGAGGGAAATGCAGGGAACTTGCTTGAGCCCAGGTGGGATGGAGGGGCATCTGGCAGAATGGACACCCTTTCCCAAAAGCCAAGGGACCCACAGAAGGACAGGAGAGGAAGGAGCAGCGGCAAGCTTGGCTCCACTGTTGCAGAACCCACATGAGACTATGCCCAGTTCTTTATGAGATCTTGGATTTTTTGTCCCTTCCCTTCTAGTCACGTGTCATGTTTCTCCACATGGGTATCCCTTCCCCTCCTCCTCTTTTATTATGACCAGGCCTTAGCCCGGCACCGGGGCATCCCTCACGGCAAACCACAAGGTGGATCCGCGGGCAGGGACCCATCTCCCTTGGGATCACCGGGCGCCTGGCCGAGGATGTCTGCTGTGTGGCCGTGTTCTCAGGGCGGAGGCGGGGAAGTGGGGCCCACGCCCAGCCCCCCTGGTGCCTGAGCCGGAGTCCCCTCTCCTGCTGCACACGTGTCTGTGTCATTTCCTCCTTCTGTGTGTCTCTGTCTCTGTCTACTTGGTTTCTCTTTGGCCCATAACGTCTTATCTGTTTTTCCATTTCCCTACCCGACTGACTCCCTCCTGAGCCTGTTGCTTCCTCTGTCTGTCTGTCTTTCTATCCCTACTGTGACCTTGTACTCAACACCACATCACCCCAGAGGCTCCTGGGGACAAGGAGGACAGGGGCTGGGCGGCCACGCTCACCTGTGACCATGACATCCAGGGGGTCACTGGGGGCTGACCACACCCGGGGGGCATGGCTGAGGGAGCCGTAGCATCTGTAGGTCCCCCACGTGCAGGCGTAAGGGGGCCCATGGAGAAGCGAGTCTGGCTGTGCCCACCAGGAGGCATCTCTGTGCATTGCTCGGAATGCCATGTGACCCCCTCCTTGTGCAGAATGAATGTGACAATTGCAAGGTGACCCAAGGGGGCCTGGGTGGACAGTGGTGGAGGGTTTGTGAGCCCACCTAGGTGGGTGTACAGGAGTCGCCCTCCTCACCCTGGTCTCTGAGAACTGCAGGAGTGAGGCCCCCTCCCTTCCCAGGACTGACTCACCTTCCTTCCTGCCTCCTGGCACTTACTCAGCGTTGCATCCCAGCCAGCCGGGGCCAGGCCACGCCTCACCTTTAAGTGCATTTCCTTCTCTCCTGGTCCCAGGACAGGCTCACCTTGAGGGGTGGAGGGACTAATGACTAATTGCGGTTATTCTTGGTTCCTTGGCTGTCAGACCCTCTCCCACGCCATTGTCTCCCTGACCTGCATGGTGGGCGTGTGGGCCCTGCAGGATGCATTTCCTGGCCCCCTTCTCACTGTCCTCCAGAGCCATGAGGGTGAGGGGGGGAGACCGTCAAGGGGAAGAAAGGATATTTCCCAGCGGGTAAGCACCTGATCCTGGAGACAGCTCCTGAGGTGCCATCTTCCCCGAGGCTCCGGCTCCTTCCCAGGGGGTGCTGGTGTCGCTCACAGAGGACTCTTCTCTGCCCTGCTTGGCTCCCCTCCTTCCCCAGGCCCTCTACTCCCCAGACAACACACCCTCTCTTTAAATCCCCAGGCGGGATCTCCCTGCACGGTTGCCTCCTGACTGGGAGTCCTGCCCCCGCTCCTGGGCTCCCCGGGCTCTGGCAGGGCCCTCTGCATGCAGGGATGTCATGGGTGGGGCCAGACACCTGCCTGTGGTCAGACTGCGGGAGTCGCTGTGTGCTGACCAGCCTGGTCCAGAGCCCCGGGACGTGTGCTGCGCTCACAGGTCTATCAGGAAGCTCACGGCCGCGGGTCCCCTCTCTTCTGAATAGCTTGAATGTGGCAAAGGGAAGGGGGGACTGACCCTGCAGAGTCACGTGTCCACCTAGGGGAACCACGGGCTTGGCCAGGCTGACAGGGAGGGCTTGTGGTGTCCACCTGGGGAGAGGGGCATGGCTGTGAAGGAGAAGGGGGAAGCCACCCCATTGCCAGCCTCAGGGGCTCTCCCTCCCGCGCAGCCTTCCGAGGCTTCCCCCCACACCGGCCCCAGGCCCAGGGGAGCCTGGTGGGGGCCAGGGACTCAGCCCAGCCCCGCATGGTCACCACAGGTCTTCCCAGAGCAAGAGGTTTAGAGTGTTGGTTACATCTTGAACAGAGGTTCTCTTAAACGCAAAACAACCATTACATGTGGAAAAGAAGAGCAAATACTCCTTGATGAAAATAAGGTGATGGAGCCTTGGTCGTGGGCCTGCACCAGGAGGCGCCGCCAGTCCAGGTGGCCTGCCGCTGACCAGTCCCTTCCCCAGCCCCGTGGGGGGCCCACAGCTCCTCCTGTCCCCTCTGCTCCAACACTACAGAGGCCGCACTCATCCCCGAGCCAGACCCCAGCTGCGGAGCTGCGCAGCGTCCCTCGGGTGGCACTGGAGCCAGGCTCAGCCTGCGGGCATCTAGAAAGAGTCCCCAGGAATAAATGGGAACCTGGGACACATGGGGCTCACCAGCTCCCGGTCTTGCTGAGGGTCAGCCCCAGCTTCCGTGCCCACAGCACCGCTGCTAAGGCACAGTGGGTGTGAGGGGACAGAGGACTCGGCCACGCATGCCTGGACCCTCCGGCCCTCATAGAGCCTTGGACAGAAACCCGCGTCTGAGATGACTTATCCCTGATGAATCCAGGCTTCCATCCATCCATCCTGGATGGGGCCTGGTCTTGGCCGGGAAGCCCTGTTTGCACCACCATCCCCTCCTCCCTTGCCTTCAGGGCTCACCAACACCCAGGAGGTGGAGGAATTTGGCAGAGTGGCTTTGCTTCTGTCCGGCAGGAGTTGAGCGAAGTTACCAACTTGCAGGATGTTGGGGGCAGGTCCCCCACCCCAGTGGCTGCCACACAGGAAGATGCTCAGCACTTCCTGCCCGGGACCTGCCTTAGTCTGCCAGAAACACGTCTCCTGCCTAAGGGATCGCACTTCCTTCTGCTAAAGTCTCCAATTATGTAAGGATTTTAACACATCTTTCTGCCTTTTGAAATCCCTACTTCTGATTCCATTTATATCATGCAATACTCCCTTCCTGAGCGAATACATGAATCTCATGAACTTTATAAAACTCTTTGCAGAACAGACACCAAACGTATTTCCTGCCTCGTAGTTTCGGCTGAGAACTGGTTGCAAATTGTTTCTCTTGTTAAACAAAAGACAATTGATAGAGACTTTGATTCTGCATTCATAATAGAGAAAGAAACATGCAAATTCTGGCTCTTGTTGCTTATCTGAAATTATTTCTCGATTATGAGTCAAAACGCAGCTCTTGGATTCTCTCCAATCCGAGGACCACATGCATACATACACAAATGCACATTCGTTGATAAAGGATGAATCCACACAGACGGAAAGATAGATAGTGGATCAGTAGAAAGGTGGTTAAGAGACATGATTGATAGGCGACTGACAGGTAGATGGATGGCAGAGGTTCCTGGGGCTCCATGACAAAGGACTGTACACTCGCCGACCTAGGGACACAGCAACGTATCCTCCCAGAGTTCTGGGGGCAAGAGGTCTAAGGTCATGGTAGTGATTTTCAGGGCCCCCCTCCCTCCCTCAGGGTCCTAGGGCACAGGTCGTTGGCCTTGTCTGTGGCTGCATCAGGTAGGTGGGCTGACCCTGGAGGGCCCTAGCGCAGGCCACCCCAAGATATGCCTCTTTGACAAGCAGATCGGTTCAGATCTGAAGACCATCAAGGCCCCAAGACTCAGGAAGATACCCGGGCCTCCCTTCCTCTCCGCGGCTGCCTCAGAAGGATGGGGTTGGAGGGCCCACTCCAGGGAGGGAGCTGCCCCCTTAGGTGACCGCACTATCACGTGACCACGGTGGCAGACTGCGAGGGGTGTGGCTAAGCCCGTGACATTTCTCTGAGCGCCCCGCTGCTGTGTGTGGCCCAGGGGATATGTGACCATCAAACATTGGCTCTCTTCATGCTCCTGTGAATGGCTTCCCTTTTCCTTGGCAGTCTCACACCCCTCCCCTGTTCTCCTGGGTTCAGGGTGACCCACAGGCCTCATTTTGCCCACCTGTCTTTGGACTCTCTCGTCTGTGTGGATTCCCTGGATCAAATTTGTTTTTTTCTCCTGTGAATCTGCCTCGTGTCAGTTCAGTTAGACCAGCTAGCTGAACTTTCAAGGGTACAGGAAAATTCTCCCTCCCCAGTATTGGTAGAGTGCAAGCTCACTTTAGAAGTTGTTTTACCCTGTACAGTAGATAACGAGGTGTTTGTGGGGAGCTCTCTCTGTGGGTGTCACCGTGCACACACACACACGCCGCCGAGCCAAGTCATTACGTTTGCCCTTGTGCATCTGAAGATCCAACACAGAGGCACCGGTCTTTTGCAGCAGGCAGCCCAGCAAGGGGGCAGCAGGCAGGGCCCCCACGTGCCTCGCCCACCTTGGAGGACAGAACTTACACGGAGGTGCAGGGATATTTGGCAGAGTGGGCAGGACTTTTCTCATTCACAGACTGTGACTGAAGCCCGCAGACGCTGGGATTTAGTGGGGCAATGAACAACAGGTAACTTCAGGTGGCCTGAAATTGGTTGTGCAACCAGCCTGGACTGTCGGGCTCCAGAGGTCCCGAGAAAACCATTGGGACGTCTTTGCCTTGGAAAGGACGGTCCAGAAAGCGTTAATAGATTTTAACAGTGCAGAAATGGGACAGGAAATGACTTTTGGCTTCTTATTTAAAAGGCCCTCTGCATGACTGGTTTCAACTATTAACCTCAGGGATGTGTGGTTCCACACACGGAGAATAAGCTGCTGTGCCCTCCCAAAGGGCGCTGTAATTTCTGAGCATGGTCTTCACCAGAGACAAGGTACTTGAGGGTGCACTGCCCCTGAGGTATGTCCCCAAATCTGCCTCTGGTAATGGATGTTACTCAGGCCCCAGAGCTGGGTGCACTCACCTCCACGGCAGCAGGGCATGCGGCCACGTGGGGCACGGGCCCCAGATGCAAGGTGATCTCTTTCTGGGCATGTGTGTGGGGCACGGGGCCCCAGACTTGGGTGGGGTGATCTCCTGGAGCACATGTGCTCCAGCTTAAGCACTGGGCTCTGGCCACATCCCAGCCCCGCAGAGGAACTAGGTCAATCCTGCACACGGTGCTGTCCCTGGCTTTGCAGATGAGGAAGGGAGAGGATGGTAAGGCCAGCTTTGCCAAAAACACAAGCCAAGAGCTTTTTCTAGAAAATGGGCTGATTACCAAAATAAAAAGTGAAATACCATTCCTAAAGTAGCCACTGAGACACAGAATTGGTGAGTTGAGGGATAAGCCAGAATTTAGCCGTGTCCCTGTGAGATAGAGGAGGGACATGGGACAAGCATCAGGATTAATTTTTTCTGCCTATCACAAAAAATGCTAAGATATAAACAGTATAGTAAGAACAGGAGGGGCTCCATCCTAAGAATAAGATTTCATTTTAAAAACCAGGGAGTTACCAAGAAACAGAAGGGGAGGGAAAACTCCCAAACTCATTCTATGTGGCCAGCATCACCCTAATACCAAAACCAGGTAAAGACCCCACAAAAAAAGAAAATTACAGACCAATATCCCTGATGAACGTAGATGCAAAAATACTCAACAACATATTAGCAAACCGAATTCAAACATACATCAAGAGGATCGTACCCCATGACCAAGTGGGATTCATCCCAGGGATGCAGGGATGGTACAACATTCGACAATCCATCAACATCACCCACCACATCAACAAAAAGGAGGACAAAAAAAACCACATGATCATCTCCATAGATGCTGAAAAAGCATTCGACAAAATTCAACATCCATTCATAATAAAAACTCTCAACAAAATGGGCATAGAGGGCAAGTACCTCAACATAATAAAGGCCATATATGAC